GCTCTCTGTCGGGGCTCTGTAGGACACGCGCCCGACACGACAAACAAGCCCAATCCCAGCATGCATTACGACTCATCCCTCGGTGTAAATTCATGCTCACTCGCGTCGAATTGCCCGGCATTACATTTTGAAATCAAGAGACTTGGATACTTTTTTTTTTGGAGGGGATTCAAACGTGATTGGCTGGTTCAAGATCACGCAAAAAAAATTTCAATAATTTATAACAAGCTGATTCGGTTCTTGATATTCATGTTTGAAATAAAACGCTAGGCTAAACTAAAGGATTAGTAAAGTATTTTTTAAGCAGTGAAAATTTGAGTTTAACACTGTTTTCATTTCAGATTGTTTTTTATATTAGAGTACCTCGGTCTTCGCCTAAAATCGATGTAAAAAGAAAGGCGAGCTAGGAAACCGACGAAGACCGAGGCAATTTTTAGTTTTATTGAAATCGGTGTAAAGTTAGAACTAGGGGTTTATAGTCTCTCCCCCCCCCCCCCCCCCCCCCCTCCCCCCTCATTCCACCCTTTTGGTTTAAATAATTCTTTTTGATATTGATGTATTGAAGCGATCTGAAGATATATTTTTAAAAAAGAATAGTTATAGAGAGATCCCAAATATGACCAATATGTGTTTGTATTTGTGTGAACTTAAATTTGCAACGAAGTACGTTGGATGGTCTTTTGTCATACATTTTGTTAGGTGCCTTTAAAAATGACGTTTCAATTGTAAAAGCCATTTCGGTTTTAAAAATTCTGGGATACATTGTAGGCGCCTGTAGGATATTTATCATCACGTACATTTAGATCTAACATATGAAGTGTCTTTCTAGACTGTTAAAATGTTAAGTTATGTATGTAACTGTATATTGAGGTCTACTATGTAAATGTGAATTGACCCTTATCATACGAATATGTTGACTGGCTGTTTACATGTATTTGAACAGGTTACGTGTACACATATGGGCAAATGTGTTCGCGAAGAGCCCCCACCCCACCACCTCCCACCGCATCAAACTGAGTCTAGTTACTGGTGGCATCAACTACACGACAAGCGGAGCTGCCCACATGCAACATATGCATTTACAAGACGACCTTATGGCTGGGTTCAGCAACAACTTGTGTCGCGATCTGTGATTGGCTGAAAATGTCAGCCCTGTCGAGCGCCACGAAGCCCGTCCCCAATCGCCGCACAAAGCAATCGATAACGTAGAACATCGCTGTGTGCAGCAGTAATCTCCCCTTGTTGTAGAAAACTTTTTTTTCAGAAGTGTAATCGAAAAAGAAAATGCATAATAATTTCACGGTTATTTCCCTTGGTAAGCTACGACCCAAAAAAAATAAGTTTAAAATAATTCATTTTGTGTCATGATTCCTCATTAATTAATAAATTAATTGTTAATTACATACAAATCAGGTGGTCTATTGTTCTTAAAATATATCGATTGAGTAGATTAAAAATATAAATAAAGTGAATTAAAATAAGAGTTTAAGCAACAGTAAGATAAAACTTATTTAATAATTAATTAATTAGTTAATTACAATTATTTCGTTATCCTAGTAACTATTGCTAGCTTCTCCAACTAGATAATAAAACATAGTAAACACGTAGACACTTTACAACCCATAAATTATATAAAAAAAACAAACAACAAATAACATTCTACCATACCTATTCAACCTTTTCAAAGATGTGTAGATAAAACTATAATATATATATATATATATATATATATATATATATATATATATATATATATATATATATATATATATATATATATATATATATATATATATATATAATATATATATATATACTCACTTTACCTACTCAATATTATGGCCCTCATGAAGGCACTGTTACTTACCTTAATGCAGCTGTCTGTGTATATTTCTAATACACACCGACACAACAACCTTACCGTCTATTACAATGCAGATTTCTCACAAGAGGAGACAATGTGTGAGTACATATCAGCACCTCCCATATCTAGCGCCACCCCTGGAAGAAAGAGGTGCCCGTATACACGATGAAAATGCTGACTTCCGGTATCTCTTCCTCCCAGGGTGGTGGCCCGTAGCCCGGGGGGGGGGGGACGGGATCAGTTAATGGGTTGGGTTCTTGTAAGGGTAACGTAGACAACCTCTTCCTTTGTGTACCTCACGACACACTCTGATTTCCGGTTGGGTTTTTTATTCTTATTGCCGAGGTAAACGTTCGCGATAATAAACAGATGAAAGATGCTTGTTAACTGGTAACATACACACACATACTTCATATAAATCTACGAACAAGTCTTCTTCATTCAAACCTTGGTACACACGCTCTTTTAACTAGCACTCGTACAATCATTTATACAAACCTCCACACAAACTTTAATGTTGACCTTTACATAAACCTCATGCAAACCTACATAAAAGCCTCCTACGTCATGAATTCAATGAAAATCTTCTTTCTGGCCTACAACTGACACATCTTAGTAGGTCTTCTTCACCCAAATTATTTCTTCTTATTATTATTATGCAAGTATTCTGTAACGTTTTCATTGTAAAAACTCTTATACAAATCTTCTTGCAAACCTTCGTACGAACCTTTCAAACCTGCTTACAAGCCTATTTACGAACCTCCATAAAAACGTGTATACGAATCTTTATCGAAATCTTCCTCAAATAAAAACCTTCACAGAAACCTTCAGACAATTCTTCAAACAAACTTTCAAACAAACTTTCATACAAACCTTCACATACACCTTCATACAAACCTTTCTTACAAACCATCAGGCAAATAAAAATAAACCTTATTAGAATTGCAGTGATTATTAATTTCCGAATTTATGATTTCATGAATAATATACAGCGTTTTCTTTGACATTGTGAAATTATCCGCCCCTGCGCGTGTAACGGTGTCATCAATTTTAGCTTCGGTGCTTGGGGTGTGGATTCAATACTCGGTTATGGGGTTGCTGGTTCAATACTCGGTGTTGGGGGTGTGGGTTCAATACTCGGTGTTGGGGGTGTGGTTTCAATACTCGTTGTTGGGGGTGTGGGTTCAATACTCGGTGCTGGGGGTGTGGGTTCAATACTCGGTGCTGGGGGTGTGGGTTCAATACTCGGTGTTGGGGGTGTGGGTTCAATACTCGGTGTTGGGGGTGTGGGTTCAATACTCGGTGCTGGGGGTGTGGGTTCAATACTCGGTGCTGGGGGTGTGGGTTCAATACTCGGTGTTGGGGGTGTGGGTTCAATACTCGGTGTTGGGGGTGTGGGTTCAATACTCGGTGTTGGGGGTGCGGTTTCAATACTCGGTGTTGGGGGTGTGGGTTCAATACTCGGTGTTGGGGGTGTGGGTTCAATACTCGGTGTTGGGGGTGTGGGTTTAATACTAGGTGCTGGGTGTGTGGGTTCAATACTCGGTGCTGGGGGTGTGGGTTCAATACTCGGTGCTGGGGGTGTGGGTTCAATACTCGGTGCTGGGGGTGTGGGTTCAATACTCGTGTGAACTAGACAAGGTGACTAGTGAAATTTGATCTTCAACCAGCAAAGAGCTCTGACGTCTTGGGGCATCTGGTCTTCATAGCCACTCTTTATATCCAAGATTGGTGTGTTAAAGGTTTGACGGGAGTCACACGGACAAGCACCAACATTCTGATAGACAGTTATGCTACCATCAGTTGGACAGATATGCCCCAACATTAAGTAAGACATGCCTCAAGTTAAAGAATATATGCCCCAAACATTTTGATAGACATATATCCCCCAACATTACGACAGTTATACGCCAACATTAAAACAGATATGCCCAAAACATTTGATTGACAGATATGCCTAAAACATTTGATTGACAGATATACCCAGCTTTAAGACAGATATATCCCAAAATTAAGATTTGCCTCAAACATTTGAATTATGCCTAACATTAAAACAAATATACCCAAAAGTAAGACAGATATACACCAAGATATACACAGGCATGCTTCAAAATTAAAACAGACATGTCCCAAACATTTTGATAGACAACGTTATGAAAGACATGCCCCAACATTAAGACAGATATACACCAAAGTTAAGACAGACATGCCCCAACATTAAGACAGATATACACCAAAGTTAAGACAGACATGCCCCAACATTAAGACAGATATACACCAAAGTTAAGACAGACATGCCCCAACATTAAGACAGATATACACCAAAGTTAAGACAGACATGCCCCAACATTAAGACAGATATACACCAAAGTTAAGACAGACATGCCCCAACATTAAGACAGATATACACCAAAGTTAAGACAGACATGCCCCAACATTAAGACAGATATACACCAAAGTTAAGACAGACATGCCCCAACATTAAGACAGATATACACCAAAGTTAAGACAGATATGCTCCAACATTCTGAGAGACAGGCTTTAAAATACGACATGTTCCATATCACTGTAACACATACCAACGAATAATACATACAGTGGCGTAGCGAGGTCGGGTGTCACCCGGTGCGGCACTTAATGGTGTCAACCCCCAGAGGCGTAGCGACCCTTCTCGGGACAAACAAACTTTCGATTTGCACCCCCCCTCAAACTTTCGATTTGCACCCCCGCCACAAACTTTCGATTTGCACCCCCCCTCAATTTTTTCTCTATATATTTTGCAATTTTTTGCCTTGGTGTTACCCCCTAAATGGTGTCACCCGTTGCGGTTCGCACCCCCCGCCCCCCCCCCCCCCTCCCTTGCTACGCCTCTGAATACATAATCCACACAATAACTGAACATGCTAACGTTTCGTCCGTCAGTCTTTCTTGCATGTTAGTAATGTAACGTTTTGTTCTACACCATAGTTATTGTTCGCAACAAGCAACAATACCTTTTAAAAACAACAACAAAACCACGGGCTATATTTATGTCTAAAACCCAATACGTCATCAACCAAACACCATAACAACTCTTATTAAAACACATTTCTTTATTTATTTTTTTTAAAAAAAAAGGAAAAAAAAAATCAAGCAGGACAATGGTAAACATCTGTCTAGTGACTAGGTAAATTGTTATCAAGTAAAGTTTACCATGGGCAGGTAACCGCAGGTGACTCACACATCAGGTAAGCATTGAGCTAACAATCAAACAATCTTTTCATACGAGTTATCTGGACACGGTTTGAAACTTAAAGCAAATTCTGTCATTGCGATGCAGCACGTGAAATTTTACAAAAAGAAATATATAGACTATAGATGATATTTTTTAAAAATTGTATAAGTGATTTTCATTGTCTTTAAAATATCTATTAAGCATCTACATTTAAACTCCAAACAACCTTGAATTTTTTTTTTCATTTTTTTTTTCATTTTTGTTAAATAGTTGAAATGCCACGAAAACCAAGGGAAATAATTTAATTATGTCCCTTTCTTCGGTTGATAATGTTATTAGCTACGTAGATGTTCGAGAAAGCGTTATATTATTTACAGTTTTATATCAGATTTGATTAGATAAGTCATATGTTTTTTATTAGAATTAATAAATTGTTAATTTATCGGGGACGTTTGTTTTTGCTTAGTACCCGGAAGATGACGTAATGTTTTGATTGTAGTCTGAGGTCGGTGGCGAGCAGTGCAGCGGGTTGTTGGCCATGTGGCCACTTGGTGCCAACCCGACGAGCGATTGTGAAAACAAAGGTCCTTGGCAAGGCCGTTTCCCGAAAGGGCTGCCCAGGCTTTGGTGGCCCCCGTACATTGACCCCCACGGGGTCATCCCGCTGTGCAGGGGCGGCATGGAGGAAGATGACGTCATCCCCATGGGGGGCATTGAAGACGTCGGGGACAGGCCGGACTGGGCGGTGCCATCGTGTCCTAGATGACCCCCGCCCAGGTGGACTGGGGGCAACACCCCGTTTGGCAACCCCCGGGGGTGGGCGCTTAAACCCCTCGACATGCTGTTGGCGTTTCTGTTGCTGGGATCGTTGGCGACTGGGCTGCAGTTCTGGTTCAGGTACCCGGCGTCTGATGTTGCCACGTGGGCCAGGGACCAAATCTTTGGCCGGAGACCGTCAAGGTGGCCGCTGACCGAATCCGGGTAACCGCAGTTGACGTCGCTCAGCCCGGAGTCATCGCTGTTGGAACAGAGGGAGTCAGGGCTCTTGAGTGACGCCGACGACTCCATCGCTGACGCCATGCTGACTGAAGACGGCAGGTTCCCGCTGGCGACCCCACCGGACGACCCCATGTGGCTGTAGCCCAGGGTGACCGGGGGGAGGTTGAGGAAGCTGGGCGGGCCCTCCATTTTGATCTGGGGAGGGAGGAAATTCGGGGGTCGCCGGGGCAGGCACGGGTCCTGAAGGTGGGCAGGGGCGGCGTGGTGCGACCGGGAGAGGTGGGTGTCGGAGGGGGCGTCGTACATCCTGACAGTCCGCATGCTGGAGGTGGGGGACGATCCTTCCGTGACGTCATCTGACAGCTGGCCCTCTGAAATAGAAAAAAACAATGCGCAATTAACAAAATTATCAATTAAACTAATGAACAATCACGGTAATCATATAAACTGAATTTCCTTCACAATACAAAAAAAGATCAGTTTTCGCGAAAATTCTTAACCTCCATGACATAACAACAATGTTCGCATACAATTGTGTATTAGATTCACCCCTCTTCCACCCCAAACACAAACATTCCATTGTCCAGTTGAGGCCCTAGTTAATGTGTTGATTTGCGTGGCAGGCGATTTAAAAGCATTACCACTTTAAGAAAATAAAGAAAACGTAATCATAAACCATCTAACAGAAATTTAAATTTAATGAACATATTCAGCTTCTAGACGAGAGCCAGATTAGACTTTGAAATTTTATCTTTTGTATTTTTTTTCAAAAATCGTTCGATCGATTTTGATTTCTTTATCAAATATTGACCACTAACATGTTTTCTCAGTCGGTTTACGGTTTAAGTTTGGTTGTGTGTTAAGACTAAGCGTTAAAATAATCGTATTGGGTCTGAGTTATTTTACATTAGAGATTTCACATCTTATGATTTAAGTGGCTGCAGTTTGAAGAATTGGATCATAAAGCACTACGTAGGAAAACCTCCACTTACATACGTGCGAGAGGCTACGCGTATTTTGTTAATTGAGTTATATTTCGCCTCCTAAATCTCACGCAGTTACAAAAGAAGAAACTACCTCTTCAGAAAACCGAATTTTTTACCTCCTTTCTTTAACAATTTTTTCTGCAATAATTCTTCATTCCGATAGACGGAAGGCGGTCGAGGAAAAACAAAAGTAGCCAGGTTTTTGTCATGGTTGTTGCCATATTTTGACAGTAAGTGCGAGCCGGTGTCTGTCAGGTTTGGGGTGTCAGGGTTTCGGTGTCAGGCCTCGGGTTACCTTCCTGGTAGCCACGTCAGGAAAGCTGACGCCCAGGCCGTTATTGAAGAAAGATTAAAGTCTGTCGCGGTGTCCAAAATTGCTGACATTTCTCAGGTAATGGGCCGTACGGAAGAGTGGGGAGCGGTTTGGGAGGGAGGCGTTTGGAGGGAGGGGTTTTGTGAGGAGGGTGAGATGACGGTCTAGGAGGGGAGGGATTTTGAGAGACAGGAGTAAGGATGGGAGGAATTGAAGGCGATGGGACAGGAGAAATGGGTTGTAATGTAAGGACCTCGTGAGGGGGTGCATGAACGGAAGTGTTTGTATCATATTTATGTAATGTAGGGGAGATGGGGTGGGTGGGTTGCAGGGTTTGTGTTTGTAGTTGAGGGATGCGGCGTATGACAGACGAGGGTGTTTGCTTAAAATACAAACATGTTTGACTACACATCAGCATGATTTATAACTGAGCTACAAAGATAAATGATGAATTGAAAGTTTAAAGAACAGTAAAAGGGGCTGAAGGGTTCCCGAACATGCAAATTTGAAATTATAAAAATCTAAAAAAAAAATTGATTTGTTAATGTCAATTGAAGCTGGAGGACATTTATAATGTTAATTAACTATCTCGATCGTATTTCCCCATTCAAGTTACTGTAGTGTACACACATAACAACGAACACCCCTCCTCTCATACAGTGCACCGCGTGTACGCACTTCTCTTCTTGTCTAAAAATAATTCTACATTATCAACCACATACGTTTCATTTAATACCCAATCTTTCATTTTTTTACTTTCTCGTATATACGAAGTATAGAGAAAATCTTGTAATCGTGCACACACAAAAAAAAAAAATCGAGATTTTTACAAATCTCGACGTTTTACACCTCAATGATAGGGAAAAACATAATTTTGCAATCTTGTCCGTATGTTTATGTGTCTGTCTGTGTGTCTGTCTTTCTGTGTGTAAACACGATAACTTGAGTACCGTTACAGCTAGGTTGATGAAATTTCATATATAAGTATTTTATAAAAATCGTAGATCCTGATCAACTTTTGAGCGATTTCCGATAACCGGAAGTGGTACTTTTTCTACTTTGAATTTTTCAAAAGCCTATACCTTGAGTACTATTTCAGATAGATAAAAGAAATTTCACATGTAAGTAAAAGATCTAACTCTCTACCTTCTGTCAAATTTTGAGTAATTTCCGTTGACCGGAAGTACTAATTTACGCTATTTCCGATTTCTCAAAAACCGCATGTAAATTTATAAAGTACTAATAATATTGCGCACTATTATGCACAATTAATTTTTTATGAATTAATTAAAATTTGGACCGAATTAGTAGGCATGTCTAGCCAACCACGCCACACGCGTCATCACCTTCAATAGCTGCGCCATCACGTAATGGCTGCGTTCAAAAACCATTGCGCGCCTACTGAACATGATGTTCAGTAGGCGCGCAATGGTTTTTAGTCATGTAACTCTATTGTAAATAAAACATGTAAAGTACTGAAAAAAAATTCTTAAAAAAACGTTTTAATAACAAGCTTTTATGTAATGATGCACTAAAAAGTAGAAAATAAATTATAGACTACTATTTAAATAACTATAAAGAAAAGCGTGGGTGTCTTCCTTAACATTAGTAAAGGTATCCAATAGATACTAATGTGACCCACGCTTTTCTTTATAGTTATTTAAATAGTAGTCTATAATTTATTTTCTACTTTTTAGTGCATCATTACATAATAGCTTGTTATTAAAACATTGTTTATGAATTATTTTTTTTTTTAAGTTTAAGTAATTAAAAATCATGTCTATATTCCAAGTTATATAAGAATATTCGAGAAAATTTAGGGGAGTTCACTCCCGGTTTATTTTAACATAGAAATACAAACGTTTAAAAATGTGTTTAAAATAATACCTACTCCATTATCTTTTAAAACGCAATACTAATTTGTTTCGGGGTTGTATTTAATTTGCTATTTTATTTATGTCACGCCCGCTTGAAAAAAAAATTCAACCCAGTTTTGCGGAAAAACCCAGAACCTCTACCTCCCCCCCCCCCCCTCATCCCATTCATACTTGCTTAAAGGTATACGAACTCTTTCCGTTATTTCCCTTGCCTCAATACTGCAATTAACGTTAATGTCAACACACTAAGCCTAAACGTTGAATTTCAATAAGTAATAGTTTCAAATAACACGAAAGTTTTCTGGCTTGACATATATCTGACTGGATTTATGTTTCACGTAAATACAAAAAAAAACAAAACCCCACGACGTAATCAAGATAGGAGGCTCCGCTCCTTTGTCACACTAATTGTTATGCAAGCAATTAACATCCCCCTTTAATTAATGACCAGCTTCTCTTAAGTAATCAACTCGACAGTGGCGCAGCGGCTACCAAAGAGCGCAGTCGATCGGGAAACTCCGATAGATGGGGGTCGTTTGGTTGGGGGGGGGGGGGTGAAGGGAGTCTTGTTCAAATACCGTTCTGTAATTAAACCTCAGGGGTAGTCGTGACTGTGTGTGGGAGGTGATGTGTGTGTGTGTATGTGTGTGGGAAATGACAGGCTATCAAATTATTGTTTGCTGATAATATTCTAAATGAGGAGATGGGCGCGTTGACAGAAATTGTGGATAGAGTCAAATTAATTGCGAGTGGTACGTCGAGTCGTAGGGTCGAGGGTTCGAATCCCGAGTCGAAACGGGTCAACGGATGAAATAGATATGAATTTCAAGCGAGAGGTTACTATCGTTATCCAGCATGTCAGACGAGGCTAGTGACAGTCACATGTACAAACCGACAACCCTAATGATCATGAAACCTACTGACCTACAAACCTACTGACCATCAAACCTACAGAACATGAAACCTACTGACCATCTAACATACTAATCGTGAAACCTACTAACCAACAAATCTACTAACCGATCAACCTACTTACCACTAAACCTAGTGAGCATCAAATCTACTGACCATCAAACCTATTGTCAGACAACCTACTAACCGACAAACTTTTAGGCCATCAAACCTACTGATTGTCAAAACCTACTGTAGATATGTGTTAGAAAACACACACAAAATAAAGTGACTGACACCCATCACGACATGTATCTACATACAACTCTCTACCTCAGTTACACCCCATAATTTAGATTTCACTTACTCGCCCCCCCCCCCCCTCCCTACAAGCTTATCCCTCCAAGCGAAACGATTTATGAGTTTGAACTTAGATATCTTAAGCTTATTTAAACATCAAACCCATTAATGACTTTGCCAATCAACAATTTTAAAAAGTAGACACGTCTTCTTCAAAATTGTTGTAATTAGTAGGAAAAAAATAAAATAACTAAAGCTGTACTGTAAGTTAATCCACAAATCACGGATTATGTTTTTCTTTAATCCGACCACATAAGCAGTGACTAGTCCCCAGAAATGGACAATGTAGACTCAAGTGAGAAAAATAGGATATTAAAAAATAATCCACATACAGGAATTTCAGAAATTATCCCCTTTAATGTATTTATTCCTGTTTATATTAAATGCAACTTTTATTTAGTTTTTACTGTCCTTTCTTTATACAAATGAGACTTTATTTATTAATTGTTAACATAATGAAAAGTAAAGTATAGAATAGTATAGTATAGATCACTTTCTGAACCGGACGGTCCACAGGGCAATTGAAGTAGAGTTCACCTGTTTATGTGACTTAGGCATGTAAAGGGATTGTGTGATCAGCCCCATACACAGATGTTCAAATATATATTTCAACGATTAAAACAAAACAAAAAACACAGCATGTAGAAAAATCTGGTACTTCTTCCGACCGGAAATTGCCGGCATTTTCAAATATCTACCAGTAACCTTCTAACTACTTTAATTTCAACTATCACGATAGAGAGGGAAAAGTTAGACCAATCGATTCATATCGACCCAGGGTTCAGTCAAAGACCTCAGCATCGGCTAGCTGGCTGTTTGTTGCAGAAAGTTTAAAACTAGAACCTCTGTGACGTGTTGGGAGGGGGAGATGGGGATTTCATGAATTAGAGTGCTCATGCGCAGAAGAAGTTTAAAGAGGGGAGGGACACGGAAAAAAAATTGGG